GATAACGATAAAACGAGTAACAGTGAACAAGAAAAGTAAACAAAAATGAACAACGGAATAAGCAGAACCAAAAAGGAAGAGGTCTAATTTACATCTGTACATTAATAATGTAATGTAATGTATGGGCAATTAGTTAATTATATATATATACAGTCTATATATATATATATATATATATATATATATATATACATACATACACATACGTTTACCTATATAAATAGGCGCAATAGATTATTACTATTGTTAATATAAATAGATACAATAGTTTCATTGACAGCTATATACAACATGCTTAGCAGCTGCGTTAGCCCAACAAGCTTGCAAATGCACATATATACAGTATAAGAAACAGCAAAACATGACAGAGAGAGTGAACAAAGTGATCAAAACAAAATGAACAAGAAATTTGAACAAAGGTGAACAAAGGTGAACAAAAACAAAAAAACTTCAATGGACATATATATACAAAGTTGAAACACAGGACATGGTTCGTGACACAGTTACATGGACAGTAATCATACAACTGAATAGAATCGTGAACAAAACATAACTGAAAAACACATCTGAACACAATTTTACTATTGTTACTATAAATAGATTATTACTATTGTTACTATAAATAGATTATTACTATTGTTATTATTAAATAAATTATTACTTATTGCATTACTTATAAATAGCATACAATAATTGGCAATGAAGGCTAAATATACAACATGTTTAGACTGCGGTGGCCAACAGCAGCTGCAAAATGCACATATATACAGTATAGAACAGCAAAAACATGGACAAAGAGAATGACAAAAGATCAAAACAAAATCGAACAAAAAAATTTGAACAAAGGTCGAAAAAAAAAAAAAAAAAACTTGCTAGCAACAACAAGCCTGCCAAATGCACATATATACAACTGGTGAGCCCACAGGGACATGGTCGCTATCACATGAGTTACATGGACAGCTAATCATCACAACTGAATAGAATCGTGAACAAAACATAACTGGAAAACACATATCTGTACACAATTTTATAGAGGTAATTAGCGTATTACATGGTAATAGCTGTAATAAAATATGTTCTTGAATGTTCAAAATAGTAAGCGGGAACTATAGAGTATTGTAATGCGAAAAACCGTCATCGCAGTCTCTCGCTATATTAGTACTAAGGTTCTCTATAGCTCACCGACATCATCCTATATTGTCATTGTAGTTCTTAACTTTTCTGCCAGTAGATGGCGATCCGAGCTTTCTCATTTTCAATTGCTTGGAATTGTTGAACGTGACTGAATGTGAATCATAGTCGTGACAGATTCTATACAATGTAATGAAATGTATACTTTATTATAATACTTTTATTTTACTATTATTATAATACTTTACAGTAATTACAATTACGATAATAATATGATATAATATCTTTCATTATAGTATTACTTAAATGCTAAAATCGTAATCTTTTATTTTATTTATTTTTTATTTATTTTTTTATTATTTCATTCTATTACATCACATCACATTACATTACATTGTAATACAGTACCTTACATTATATTACCGAGTCATCCTACATTGCGTTACGTTGCGTTGCGTTGCATTACTTTACGTTACATTACATTACATTACATTACATTACATTACATTATATTCCATTACATTACATTAGATTACATTACATTACATTACATTATATTACATTACATTACATTACATTGCAATATATTACATTACAATACCATTACATTATGTTACATTGCATGTCCGTAAATTATCTTACCTTACATTACATTGCAATATATTACATTACAATACCATTACATTATGTTACATTGCATGTCCGTAAATTATCTTACCTTACATTACATTATGTATTGTATATTTTTTTTCTAAATCTCATGTATACAAGTATGGCTCATACACGATTACATGATTCCAATTACAGGATTCGATTTTTGGACGAAAATTACTTTGCACACATTGATCGAATATTAAAACAATGTTTATGTGTAGCATGGACAATAACTCAGCGTGGCATAGCACTACCGAAATACATGTACCGATAATAGTCATGTTACAATTATGTTAATGAGCATTCGGGATGGTTATACGCTACTGCAGATATCTAAATAGAGCTGCCCATTTCCACAGAAACTTATCTTGTTTGTTATTCGTGAATGCTAATTGTCTTTCAATTTCTTTTGTATATTGCAAATATTCTCTGACTGCTACAAAAGTAAGCGGTCTGTTGTGAAACCTCTACCTATAGATTACGAATTTTGTTAGTATTATACAATGATTTATAATTACGTCAGTGTTCTTAATACCATAAATAATGTTTTCTCTATCAAAGGTTTCCAACTGCAGATATCCACACCTTGTTAGCCATTTATGTAAGGCTTGCCAGACAGGGCGAACGTAGTCACATTCCACGAAGAGATGTAGTAATGTCTCAGTATTTACATTACAGAAGGTACATTCTTTCTCTTCACAGAAGGAGACTTCCGGTTATGGCATTGAACTTCCGGTTATGGCATTGTGACTTCTGGTTATGGCATTGAGGTGATAGGACGCGTGTCACATCGGCTCTCCTGAAATTTGAGAAAGTGCGGAAATATAAGTGTAACCAAGAGTTATAATATGCCGACGAAGGAAGGAGAAACAGACTCTACAATTAGAAAATACTTTGGAACACGTGCAGGCACACAGGCTGGTAAAGAAAGAGCTATTTCGACGCAAGGCCGACCCGAAAGTTTCGTGTCAGACATGGCGGACAATGGAGACGAGGCGTGCACGAATGCAGATATCGTGAAGCTGCTCAGGAGCTTAAACAACAAGGTAGAGACTGGTTTCTCGACTCTAAACGACAAAGTGAGCAAATTAACAGACAAAACCGAGGCATTGGAACACGAAGTAGAGAAAGCAAAGGAAACACAGAAAGCAGACGAACTGGTCGTAGGAAAATTGAGGGAAGAAATCCGCGACCTAAAACAATCCCTCCTACTCACGCAGGTTCATAGCCGCAAATACCATCTGCTGCTGTACGGCGTCGACGGGCATGAAACGTTACCAAAAGAAATAATCAGCAGAGTGCGCAGATTTGCCAAAGACTCTTTAAAATTGGATGACAAATTAACAAATAATATGGCGATCCGCACGGCACACCGCCTCCAACGGCGCGCTACCGACAATCCGGCAACTATAATAGTTGTATTCATTTACTGGAGTGACCGCGAAGCTTTCCTGAAGGCGGGCCCAAATCTACGTGGCTCCAAGATGAGCGTCAGGATCTACCACCAGAGCTAAAGATGAAGAGAGGGGCATTAGCACACACAGCGTACGAGATCCGCCGTAATAAAAAGATACAAACAAGATTGCGAGAAAAGGGCGTCGACATCTGGGTTGAAACGAAGAGAGACGGCGGCGACATATGGCGAAGACTATATATTTGACTCGATCCCAAGGTAAAACTACAACCTGGTATAAATGTGCGATATTGCCAGTACAGTATAACGTTCCATATATATAAAATCGTAATCTTAGCAATGTCTACAAATATTTATTACCATTTATGTAAAATTGATAATATTCCAATTTACATCTAGTATGTATAGCAAGTGTAACTGCCATGGCAACATCGCAGTTTGTGATGGCAATGTCGAAGATAAGGCAGGTATCGTTTTTTGTGTCAAAGCCTAACGCGTTTTTAACCGTTGTTAAATAAGATTTTCACTTACACACATACTAATTGTATAATTAAATATACATACCAAGAAAACTATATATATAACTACATTATATTAGATCACCGAAAATACGAGCCGGTTATGTCAATTGCATACAGCAGATGGTGCGTAACTAGATCTGTGTCTACGCAATCTTCACATATCTTTCCTGGTATACGGACCACCGAATTCCAACAGAATAAATGACTGTAATTGCAAAAAAACAAGGAGGCAAATCAGTCCACGTATTTTGATCACTAGTCTTACTGAGTGGTCAACATTTCGAGCCTGTTTCTTTATATCGTCATCACTTTGCTTGTAATTACACCATTCTACTACTTCACGGTCACTGCTGAGATCCGTAAAATCATCGTTTTCTTTTTGAAATTGGTAACACGTCTCGGCTCCACCTGTTCGCCGATAATACAATGCTACAGCGAATCAACAGTTATTAAACTAATTGTTGTTGTTTGAAAAAGCTAATTAAGTATAACAAGATGGTAGAATATAAGTAATAGTTGAATTTCTATTTGCACTTGCGATACACGCGACAAACCGTTGAAAAGACTAGTTTGGATTTCTGCTGATAAGTAATAAGTAAATGATGGACATCATAATAATATGTAATATATATTTCCGTTCACCACAGGCAAAACCTCACGTTATCCTGCAGAGCTTCGTCTTAATATTAATAACGACATTCCTACGTTCACATCGTGACGTACATTCGACGGACAACTCATTCTTAAATACGTCACATTAGTCTCTGAACACCATATATTCATTCTGACGCACAAACACCTTCATCATTGTCTACGTAACCCTGCGTAACTGGCGGCATTCTAGCGTGTAAAACTTTCACATTGACGTACGTTCTTTCATTCTAACGCGCTCTTCGCACCTTTATGCGTTCTTGGCAACGCGCACGCCGTACTGGTGACGTGAGCGTCTCTCATGCGTATGGTGCACGCACGCGCCGAGCCACCTGCACGCACGTACCGCCAGGAGGTCATCTCAGTGAGGTTAGTTAGTTAACTGCGTAGTTACCCACCTGTGCGCCGTACTGCGCGCACGTCGGTGCGATAGAAAGCCGTGATTCACTTCCACCTTCACATTCACTCGCGTGCGGCTGCAGCAAGAACATTAGCGAACAACGAGGGATAACGGACGAGAACGACAGACAGCGCGGCGTGACGCAAGGTGGTACCACGCTCGCCCGACCAAAGCTGGCGGTCGTGATAGAAACGTGCAGACTAAGTCGGAGCTAGCAACTGATCAAAGCATGAACGCGACCGACGGGTCGCCGACGACGCCCAATTGCACATCGTCCGACGATGCCGACTTCGGCGGCCACAGCACGATCGGCGCATGCGCACCGAGCGTCGTGTTTGGCGACGCAGAACAGATTGTCGCTAAGGCTTACCTGACGGTCGTGCTTGCAGCGAGCGTGCTCTGTAATATCGTCGTCGTCTGGGCGATCAACACCACGCTCAAGAAATGCCCCCTCTTCCGTCCGAATCTCTTCCTCATCGGACACGTCGCCGTCACTGACCTGGCGACGGCCGTCATCTGTCTGCCGCTCGTGCAGGCGGCAACGGCCGTCGGTCGCTGGCCGTTCAGTGCGTCGGCGTGTGCAGCGTCGGCAGCGCTCAACACGCTCCTGGTGACGGCATCCGTGTTATGCATCCTCGCTGTCAGCGTTGATCGCTATTTCTCGATCGCGCGTCCGCACCAGTACAAACTGCTCGTGACAAAACGACGTTGCGTCATCGCCGTCGTCGGTATGTGGTCGGTGTCGGCGGCGCTCGCGATCGTGCAGGTCGTAGTGCTCGACAACTGGGCGTTCTATCCAGGCCGCGCTATGTGCTTCATGGACTGGCAGACGCGCGCAGCTCCGAAGCTCGCCTTTAACATTGCTCATCTTGTGCTGTGCGTGCTGCTACCGCTCGGGCTGCTGCTCATAGTGGATATTCTCGTCGTGCGGGCCGCTCGTCGCCACCACACGAAACCGCTGCGCTTGACAGCATCCAAAGGCACCGACGGCCAAGCGGCCGGCAACCGCCGCGTCATCAGCAACAATCCTAACGTTCAGAAGAAGGATTCGCCGACGATAGTGCATCGCCGGGGGTTGCGGCTGTCGCTGCCGCTCGCGCGCGAGACGTCCAATATTTCGGTGGACAGGTGTAACATCGTGCCGATCGACTTCGCCGTAACGGTGTTGAAGAAGGCAAAGCCGATCTCGCTGCACAAGCTGAAGGCGGCGCGTATACTGCTCACGGTCGTCACCTGCTTTGTCATCTGCTACCTGCCGCTGTTCGCGCTCAACGTGGCGACGGCCGTGCTACAGTGGCGCACCCTACCGCCGAGACTCGACCGCGTCGCCTCCATGCTGCTCTACACGCACAGCTTTCTCAACGCCTGCTTCTACGGTTTTACAAACCGCGACATCCAGCGCACGATCGGCGCCGCTGTGTCGCACTGGCGCAGCGGCAACAAGGTCGGTGCCGTCGTTCCGGCGCCGACGCTTCAGGTCACGTGTCCGCCGACTCCCGTCGCCAGCTCCGGCTCGAGCGGAGTGCCGACAATCCCTCTCAGCGACCTCTTACGGCGGATACAGAACGCGAAGGGCTGCCACGAGCTGATGGAGACGACGTCAATGCAGGGCAGCGGAAGGTGGAGCATCACGGCCGAGGAGTCAGCGCATCCGGTCATCCACGTGATCACGCCCATCGCGGGCACCTCCCGCCAGATGGCGTGTTTGGACAACAACTCGTTTGCCGACAACTCGCTCGCCGACAACTTGTTCGGGTCGGACGACTTGTTCGGGTCGGACGACTTGTTCCGGTCGGACGACTTCAAGATGACAAGGGCCGACGACGTTAGGCCGGTGACGCAGAGCGACATGGCCGCGTCGGTTACTCTCAACATCCCGTCGTGTGACGTCACGAAGTGCGCCGAGGCGGACCTACGTGTCGAGAGCGCCGTGGCGTCGTCAGTGTGTGAGTCAACTTATTCCACGTGACAGTCCGTCGTCTGTCTTTCACCGTGGTACGTATCGACGTGATAAGGATCAGACGGAGGATGATGGGGGAGGAGAGGAGCTTGACTTCGACTTCTATTTTGTACTAGCGGGATACCCGGCGTTGCCCGGGGAAATCAGTGGCGTTACTCAGTTGGTCACCGCTTGGTTAAAAGAAAAATACCCCAAAAAATCGAACTGTCTATCCATCCATGCATCCATCCATGCATCCCTCCATCCATCCCATTCCATGCCATCCCATTTCATCCCATTGCACCGCATTCCATTCCATCCCATCCTATATCCCATCCCATCCCATCGCATGCCATTTCATCGCATCCCATGCCATGCCATGCCATGCCATCCTATTCCATCCCATCGCACCGCATCCCATCCCATCCCATACCATCATATCCCATGCCATCCCATGCCATGCCATGCCATGCCATCCCATCCGATCGCATGCCATCCCATTCAAACAGTAAAAATAATAAGAAATCAAAGATAAAAGTCATTAAAATAAAAAAGTAAAATTAAATAATAAAATGAAATTATATAGAAAATATAATAAATTTGATATGTAAACCTACATAGGCTTTCTCGTGAAGTGTTCCCGTCAGTTTTGCGCTATCATTATCATCTACCATAGTTTATTCTGGATCCTTTACAAACGTTTTAAATGTAGTAAAAAAAAATTAATTTCGGAAATTAACGGTGAATACGGCAAAGTGCATTCCTAAACAGTCAAAAATTAAAGAGAACCAAGGATTTCGCCAGAAGTGAGATTCGAGCGACCAGAATCAATGGTTTCAGGATCGTATGCTATGCATTCGCTACTGGGCCAGTTACGGTTATACACATATGGGTTCAAACGTACGTGATGCAATAATGTGTAATCTTGTACCCATCTATTGACTGATTATAATTTTATAACTGTTTTTACTTTTTAACCCTTTTTAGAAAATTTTTTGAAGTTTCGAGGCAGAAACCACCCTCAGACGTGGGCGATTCTGAAAAGAATTTAGTTTTCTGTAAGGCCTGCGGAGTTATCTAGTATGCGGCGGAACACACTAATGTGGCGTGTACAACTTTATATATACTAGCAGACTAATACCGCATAGAACGAAGTACAAGATCGTGCTTAAAATATAAACTTTAATAGTAAGTGACACAGTTGCAGTTAAATATTTCATGCAACCTGACAAGAAAAACCAGAACAAAAAACATTTTTCTGGGAAAGAAACCAAAGAGCGCAATTCCTATAAGTGAGGCAGGTGAAAAAGTGCTCAGTTGGTGACCACTTGGGTGAAAGGAAAATAACCGCGAATCCTATCTATCTATCTAATCTATGCTATCTATGCTATCTATCTATCTATCATATGCTATCTATCTATCTATCTATCTATTATGCTATCTTATCTATCTATGCTATCTATCTATCTATCTATTCTATCTATCTATGCTATGCTGATCTTATCTATCTATCTATGCGTATCTATCTATCTATCTATTTATCTATCTATTCTATCTATTATATCTATCTATCTATCTATCTATCTATCTATTAATCTATGCTATCTATGCTTATCTATCTATTATCTATCTATCTATGCTATCCTATGCTATTTATCTATCTTATTCTATCTATCTATGTATGTATCTATCTTTGTATCTATCCATGCATGCATGCAGTCCAATCTATGCGCATCCATCCAGCCCAGCACTCTCCATCGCATCTTCCCGCATCCATCGCATGTCATGCTATGGGCCATGCCAAGTCGCCTGGCCATACATCCAATCTCATCCTAATCCATGCCACCGCATGCAACCCATCCATCCCATGCCCATCCCATCCTATCAGTATGGCCATCTTCAGTGGGATTCGATCCGATGGCCCATCGCAGTCGACCCATGCCCATCCCATCCGCGAGTCCAATCCCAAACAATAAAACATACATATAAATAATATAAAGACGCATGAAAATACTAATAATTATAATAATAGTAGTAAAAAAATCAGTAATTCTTTAAAAAACAAATTTAATGGATGTAGTAAAATTTTATTTTTTACATTTTGAAATTAACGACTGAATGTGGCAAAAGTAGATACTTAAAGAGTAATAAAAGTAAAGGAGAATTTTTTTCAGCTCGCATTCGAACGTGGAATCTTAGGGTTATGAAATCCGAGCTCCTACCGACTAAAGCGCTATCGGCGGGGGCAAAGACACGGCGAAAAATAATTCCCACGTACGTGATGATCTGAATTTTGACTTTTAGCCGATTTTTCTTTTACTTTTTAACTCTTTTTTAAATTTTTGTCTGCAGACGTGGTTGAATTCTCGATATATCTTCAGTTAGCGCGGATTGAGTAAAAATCACGGAGAAAAGCGAGGTGCAAACAAAACACATCACACAACACACACTGACACACCAAGATTAGCCCTCATTATAGTATAGATGAATCGGCGCACGCATCAACATGGCTGATGATTTTGGCCAACGTGAGGCGCAAGGTAAAAGGTTCGTCATAAACTATTTTATATCTCGATCAACCACGTTATCACTTATCATTGGAGATACGTTCACTCTATCAGCAGAAATGCGTGCTAGTTTCTCAAGCAACGTGAAGAGTCTAAATGACCTTAGGACCTCTGCTTACAGAGTCTTAATGTCTTCAGGGCCAGTTTTTGAAGTAAAGATTTAAAAATAAAAATATAAATTCAAACCTTTTAACTTGCGCGCTCCCGTTGGCAATCATCAGCATATGTTGAATGGTGCTTTGGGAGCTTGAGCAGTTGTACTCAGCGAAATACTTATAAGGGGATTAACGGAATGAATTTTTGTTTTTGTACATTTTTTTCATCTTTTTTTGAAGGAATACCGTATCTAAAGGTTCGCCAAGTCATAACATAATACATACATACTACAATACATAACATACATACATACATAACAGGTACATACATACCATACATACATACATACATACATAGCATGAAAAAAAACATACCAGTACATACATACCATACATACATAGCATACATACGATAACATACATACATACACTACCTACATACATACAGTCTACATACATACATACATTACATACATACATACAGTACATACTATACATAATACATACATACATACATACATACATACATACATACATATACATACATACAGTACATTACTAACATACATACATACATCACATACATACATACGATACATACAACATACATACATACCATACATACACTACATACATACATCGATACATACACATACACAATACAGACATACATACATACATAATACATACATACATTACATACATACATAACACTAATACATACATGACATACATACCCATACATACATACATAATACAACTACATGACATACATTACATACATGCACATACATAGCAGCTACATGCATACAATGATCATACCATACATACATGCATACATACATACATAACATACAATACAGTACATACAATACATCATACATTACTCATAACATACATGACATAGCATACATACATACATACATACAATACATACATACATACATAATGCATAAAGCATACATACATACAGAACATACATACATACATACTCATACATACATACCATACATACATTAGCATACATACATACATACATACATACATACATACATACATACATACATACATACATACATATCATTGCATGCAGGGCATGCATGCATGCATGCAATGCATACATACAGCATGCATACATACATACATACATCATAACATACAATACATACATACATACATACATACATATCATACATACATACATACATACATACATACATACATACTACATACATACATTACATACATACATACATACATACATACATACATACATACATACATACATACATACAAACATACATACATTGTAAACAGCTAAACACAACAATAATTAACTAATTAGAACTAAATAACTGACAGAACCTTTTTACCTTTATATATTCCTGTGTACAATTACCTGTATAGATTCTATCACATATTAACCTGTACAGATTCTGTTACACGTACCTACATTACCTTTAGAGCAGTGGTTCTTAACCTTTTTGGCCCCACGACCCCATCAGACATTCTTGGTCAGTACCGTGACCCAGGAAACAAAAATTGAAAAAAAACAGCCCCATTTATGAAAACATGTCTGCCAATACTCAGTCAATGGAATGACTGAAATTGCTTCACAGCCATCAGGCGATCCAAAAAAAAGTTCGGGCAAGTGCTTTAATTAGGCTTGTGGGCAACCAAATTTATGAGTCACTGAAGTGAAGAAATTTTTTGGGTAGCACCATGATAATTATATATTTAAATGGATTTGTTTCATTTATGACCTCTTTATGACCCCAGAAAATACCCCAAACGACCGCATGGGGGTCACGATTCCCAGGTTAAGAACCGCTGCTTTAGAGCAAGCACCTGTAGCAAAGCTTTTTTGTTATAAGTACGGGCACGTACCTTTACCTATATTAATTCAGTCACAAACCTTTACCCGTATTGGTTCTGTCACGATGCTTTACCCATGCACCTAGGTCCTGTAACAAGGTCTTGCCCTTACAGGATCTGTCACATGCCTTCACCCGTGTGTAGGCTATTGCACTCGGCTTTGCCTTTATAACTCATGTTGTACATGGTTGCGTCCGTAGGTTCTGTCATACTATTTTATATCTTCGATTCACGTTATCACTTATCATTGGAGATACGTTTACTCTTATCAGCAGAACTGCGTGCTAGTTTTATTACAACGTGAGAGTCTAAATGACTTTAAGACTCTGCTTACGGCCTGAATGTCATCAGGGCAGTTTTTAAGTAAAGATTTTAAAAATAAAAAATAAATTCAACCTTTTAACTTGTCCTTAGGTACGGCCTGCGTAACTGGCCGGGCAGTTCTTTAGCGTGTATAAACTTTCACATTGACGTACGTTCTTTATCTAACGCG